CATTCCCAATCCCAGCAAAGCAGCTGCATCCATCCAGAGACTCAGACCAAAAATGTCAGCATCATCCTTGTCTCATCTCTCATTCCCCACATCCAATCCCTCATAAACCCTGTTGGCTCTACCTTCAACATCCATCCATAAACCCATATCTTCTCACCACTTACACTGGTCCAAGTCACCATCACCTCTTGCCCACAGGACTGCGATTGCCCTCTCCCTAATCTTCCTACTTCCAACCTTGCTCCCTACAGTCTATTTTCAACATGGTGGGCAACACTCATCGTTTATATATATAAGTTGGGTCATACTCCCTAGCTCTCTCAGAGTGCAACTGAAAACCTTTCAATGGCTGCAAAGTCCTAAGAGACCCTGCCCTGCCCTGGTACCTTTTCTGACCTCAGTGGACACTCACTTATTCCTCTCTTCACCCACACTGACCTTTTTGCTATTCCTCAAACATGACAAACACACTATGCCTCAGGGCCTTTGCACTTGCTATTCATGGTCTGGAACAGTCTTCCTCCAGTGTAGTGTTTCTCCAAGTGTGGTCCCTAAACCAGCAGCATCAGCATCACCTTGGAATTTGTTTTAAAAAATGGGAACATTCCTAGCAGCCCAGTCCTACTGAATCAGAAAGCCTGGGGGAAGGCAGCCATCTGTGTTTTGTCCTTCAGGCAATACAGATGCACAATATAGTATGAAAACTACTGTTTCACATGGCTCCTTGGCTCACTCCCTTGGTTCCTTCAGATCTTTGTTCAAATGTCATCTTATAAAAAGAAGGGCTGCCTTAGTCGGTTTGGATCAGTGGATAGAGTGTCGGCCTGCGGACTGAAGGGTCCTGGGTTCAATTCCGGTCCAAGGCACATGCCCTGGTTGCCGGCTCGATCCCCAGTGTGGGACATGCAGGAGGCAGCCAATCGATGATTCTCTCTCATCATTGATGTTTCTATCTCTCCCTCTCCCTTCTTCTTTGAAATATCTATATCTATATTGATATAGATATAAAAGCCTTCCCTAACTCCTCTCTCTAAAATAGCACTCTCCCAATACAGAGTGGGGCACAAGTAGGGTTACAGTTGTGAGTACTTGAAACACAGAATTTATTCTTGTTTTCTTATGTATTAATTAAATCTACTTTTGTCCCACCCTGTGTAATTCCCAATCCCCTATTCTTTACAGCACTTACACCACTGGGTATATAATATATTGGCTTGTTTATTTATTTCCTGTCTCTCTCCCTGCTCTATACATAGGCTTCCTAAGAGTCTCCAGTGCCTGGAACAGTGCCTGGCACATAGCAGGCACTCAATAAATATCTGTTGCATGAATGAAATCCCTGAATGCTCAGAAGAAAACTTGGGGCCCAGAGAGGGGCAGGGACTTGGCCAAGGTCATGAGGAAAGCCAGACCTCCTGACTCAGCTGCAGGACCTGTTTCGGGGGCTCAGCTTGGCTGGCGTGCCTCTCCTCAGAAGCGGAAGCGTGGCGGCTTGTGGGAGGCCCCCGGCTCACTTTCCTTCCCTTTTAAGCTGGGAGCGGTTTAATTTGCGAGCTCTGCTGCCTTTCATGTCCCAAGCTGCGTCCCTGCTCCTTCTGATCTCCGAAGCTGCCCAGACCCGGTGCCGCTTGTCCGCCCCGCCCCCGTTGGCCCAGAACACGAGGCTCGGTAATTGTGACTGATTTTCAAAGCCGCCTGGAGTTTCCGCACGCACCCGGTGTCGAATTCGCTTCTCCTTCAAAAAGTTGCTCAAATGAAATAAACGCATTTAATTTCTGCTTCTTCCCTCCCCCTCCTGGGCTTCCTGGCTTGTTGAGTCCCCTGCCTGACTTTTTCCTGAGTGGAATGTCAGAGTGAGGGGGCTGGGAGAGGGAGGTGAGGCAGGGCTGGGGCTCCTTAGGGTGGTGCTTGTGAAGTTGGGGGCTGGCTCTGCCTCCTACTGGCTGGGCGACCTTGAATGAGTCCTTGCCCTTCTCTTGGTCTCAGTTTCCCCACGTGTGACACAAGGACCCTGGCCACTCCCAACAGTCTGGGAGCCAAGCTCAGCGACTTGCTCGGTCACTGCCTTGCTATGTGACTGTGAGCACAGTTTCTCCTCTCTGAGCCTCGGTGTTCCGATTTGTTTGATGGGGATGCTACCATCAGTCCTGCCACCTCTTTGAGTTGAAGAGAGAGTGACCTAATGATAGACAAGCCATCCCGGTGGATATGGGGCTGGGCCTCCCTCTGGAGCCCCCACCCCACCATCTGCATCCATTCTCCATACAGCAGCTGGGGAGCTGTCTAGAATGCAAGTCTGCTCATGCTACTTCCTTGCTTAAGCCTTCCCAGGCTCCGTGCTTCCCTCAGGTCCTGGGATATGGCTCCTGCTTCCTTCTCCAGCCTCCTTTATGGTCTTTTCCATGTGGGAATGAGCAGGTCAGTTCTGGGTGAAGAGAGACAGGGCCATATCCTCCTAGGCCAGAGTTTGAATCCAGTAGTAGGAGCTGCTGGACCTGGGAAGTCAGGGGCTTGAGCCACCTGTGACTTGCTGTATGACCTTGGACACATTACTGCCCCTCTGAGCCTCAGTTTCCCCCATTTGCAAAATTGATTTCTAAGTACTCATTGGGCTCTGAGAGTCCAGGGGGGTCTTTGCTACTGACAACTTCCAAATTTATCTCTGCAGCCCAGACCTCTCACTGAGCCTGTATATTGAACTGCCATTTCCAAGATCTCCACTTGGTTAGCTAATGAATACTTCCAACTCTGCACATCTGAAACCAAACTCCCGACTTCCCTCCACCCTCCAAATCTGCCCCTTCCATCTCAGTAAGTGGAAATGCCGTCTATTTAATTGCCCAGGTCAAAATCTCAGTAGTTTTCTTTCTCTCACACCCCACATCCGATCCATTAGCAAATGCTTTCAGCTCTACTTTCAAAATCTATCCATAAGTCGACCTCTTTTCAATACCCTCACTGGTACCACCTTGTTCCATGCCACCATCATTTCCTGTCTAGGTAATTGCAATATTCTCTTCTCCTCAATGGGCACTCTGCCTCTGCCCTCCCCCCTCCCCCCTCGCCCCCACCACCTAAGCATCACAGAACAGCCAGGGGATCCTATTAAAACTGGGATCATGTCACTCTTCTGAATAAGCCCATCTGCTGACTTCTCAGCTTGCTCAGCATAAAAGGCAAAGCCCTGACTATGGTCTACATGGCTGCAAGACCTGGTTGCCGCTCCACTTCTCCTCGGGGATTTTGCATGTATAGTCCCCTCTGCCTGGAATGCTCTTCCCCCAGGGCCCATGCTTTCACATCCATCAGGTCTCTGCTTCAATGTCATCTCCTCAGAGACGCCTTCCCAGATCAGAGATCTGTTTGTTTACTGGCTTATTTGCTTACTGAGAGCAGGGAGGCTTGACTGCCTTTTCACTGCTGTGTCCCCAGTGCCTGGCACATAGTAGATCCTCACACATATTTCTTAAATGAATGAAAGAAGACACCCAAATAGATACACAGCATGTCACATGGATGCACAGGCCTTAAAGTGCCATTTGACCAGCCATGGATGTGCACACCAGGCACACATGTGGACCTACTGTGTGTGTGCATCCCTGCTGACACCCACATTCACACCCTCACTGTTCCCTTCTTCCACCACCCCTTTGTGCCCATCAATTTCTCTGGTTCACTTCCTCCTCTTCAGTTCCTGACTGCCTGCTCATTATCTGCCAATCTGCCAGTTTAGTTCCATCTGGGGAAGCTGGGGTTGACTGCACTTTCCTCCAAGAACTCAAATACCCCTGGCATCTGACATGCAGCCGTGGAGCTGGAAGGCCCAGAGAGCAGCAGCACGGAGCCCACAGTGCTCAGTGATGGAGCATGGTCTAGGACCAGGGTCGCTGCTCCGGGTCCAGCCTGGCTGGCAGGTGCTTAGGTTAACACGGGGGCGGGAGGGGTGGGGAGGAGACGGCAGCTACTGGCTTTACGAGGAGCCCTAGGCCAAGTGGAGCCTTGGTGGTCAGCCACCTGCATGTGGGCCCCATGGAAGGAGAGGACAGACCACCCAACCTTTAGCTTCAGTGCTCCCTGCTGGGCAAATGTGTTTTTGATGCGGCCAAGTCTGAGATCTTCTTGCAGATGGGACTTGTGAGGTATGTGCTCCCTTTTCCACACGTACCCAGTGCCCTGGGTGTTTGCAGCCTGCCAGACACATGCACTTGAGCCTGTGTTGGGGGCTCAGTGTCTCTGTGAACTGTGTCCCCAGGGGGCTGCATGTTGGTGCGCTGGGGCCTCCTGAGGGCAGTGAAGGGAGCCATCTGAACGCTGCACCTGGCTGTGCCCGGGCCTGTCCACGGCCACCCTCTGGTGGAGTGGGCCCAGGATGGTAATACTCACTGTGGCTATTTCTTGTGTTTGTGTAGGTGACTGTGTCTGTGCATAAGCTCCATCTGTGCAAAGGGCTGTTTCCTGGGAGGGGTTGTATGTGGCTATGTTGGGTGTTTGGCTGTGTCTGGTTGTGTGGTTGGTCAGTTTCGGCTGTGTCCCACTCTGGTTGTCTTTGGTTGTAGGTGTACCTGTGTCCTGCTATACCTGCGTCTGGGTGGGATTGTGACCAAGGGCTGTACGGTGTGTGTGGAGTTCAACTCTGGTGAAGGACTGGGTACGGTGGACAGCTGAGCTGGTATGTGAGGCTGGGTCTATATGTGGGTGTAAGACTATGTCCGAGTGTGTGTCTGAGTCCACATGGAGACCCATGTTCATGTGGGGATGATGTCCATGTATGTGCCTGAGGTCACATGCATGCCTCTGTGACTGTATCCAGGTCTATGCCCGAGCCTGTGGTCACCTGGCTCACACCAGTACCCTTTGCCCTGGGGTAGCAGATCCTGTCACTCCTGCCCCTCCAAGCAGTGTCAGCCACTCCCCCCACGGCGGGCTCCCACTCAGAACCTGGCAGCTCCCCTTCCCCCTCACCCTGGCCTACCCCGGCCCCCCAGGGTCCCGCAGCCCACCTGTGGGGGACAGCTCAGCCACACTGCCAATGTAGGGGCCATGCAGGAAGCGGGGCTCACTGTCGTTGATGTCCTGCACCTTGATGATGAACTCCGACTCGGGCTCCAGCAGGCGGTTGGTGGCGCGGTCCCGAGCCTGGGCCCGCAGCGTATAGAAGGTTTTCTGCTCACGGTCCAACCGCTCCATGGCATGGATGTCACCTGTCAGCTCATCGATCAGGAAGATGGTGCCTGCGCCCTCACCCGAGATGGTGTACTTGATGGCCCCGTCACCCTCGTCGGAGTCCGAGTGGATCTGGAGAGGCAGGGAGGAAGACAGGGTGGAGGTGGGGGAGGAAGCTCCTCTCGTGGGAATCCCGCAGGGACCTGTTCCTAAGCATGTCCCTTCTTTAACACACCCATCCTTCAATAAAAACACAGGCCTGGGGAGCCATGCCTCACCCCTGTCTGGGCCTCACCAGCCCTCCGCAGCTCTCCCTGCTCCAGCCCTGCCCCCATAATCTACCTTTCGCTCTGCAGCTGGACAGCTCAGCCTCGGAGGCAGATCTGAACACTCCCTTCCCTGCTTGCAGCTCTCCCATGGCTCCCCGTTGCCTTTACAAAGCAGCCCAGAGCCACTTCCACACCAATGGGCTCCTCTTTGAGCACTCTGTCCTCACTTCTCTGCTTACTTAAACTCTGCTCCTCCCGCAGCTCCGTTCAATGCCGCCTCTTCCCCAAGCTTTTCTGGATCCCCGTCCCCATGCCCTCCAGGACCTCTGCAGTTCAGTACATCAGCCATCATTATCATGTTCAGCTTGTGGGATGGCTGTAGCCAGTGTTTCTCCAGCCTCATGTGCATGCAAATCACCTGAGGATCTTGTTAAAATGCAGATTCTGACTTAGTAGGTCTGGGAGTGGGGCCTCAGTTAGCATTTCTAATAGGATCCAAGCTGCTGTCCAATCTCCTGAGGCTCTGAGCCCCCAGAGGTCAGGGCTGCTATCTTACTCCTCTTACTCACATCTGGAGAGCCAGCCTCAGGGCGTGGCACATGAGGGGGACAGGGCATGAAGGGAGAGAAGAAAAAAAGGGGATGCAAATTGAAGGAGCACTTACTATGTGCCAGGCACCATGCTAAGCAATTTACATATTTATCTAGTTCAGGGTTCTTTATAGAAAAAAATAGTACTTGAGTAGGTTTTGCTACAAATATTATAGTTTTTTTGTTTGTTTGTTTGTTTTTTTTAGTTTCCCATGGGGAATTGGAGAAATGGGATGATTTGCTCCTTGGAGGAACTGGACTGGTCCACAGCCTGGCCTTCTCACTCCATCCTCAAGCCTCCAGGGAGGAGCCCGGGTGGAGGAAGCGGCATTACAGCCTGGCCTTGGCTGCAGCAGCATCTCCCTGTGTGGCCACTGCCCCTCTCTGGGCCTCAGTTGCCTCCTCTGTAACATGTGATCTAATAGCACCTCTCTCCTAGAGGTGTTGGGGGACAGTTGAGTTGAAATCACACAAGGCCCTTAGCACCTGCCTGGCACCACATGACACAGTATTTAACAGCCAGCATGGCAGGAATACTGTCCAAGGGGTGGTACCACAGGAGGGCCCTGCGGGGCCAGGCAGGAGCCGTGAGGTTGCTAGATCACAGAGAGGTTCAGGGGCCGAGGGAGCTGGGGCGAGGGAGAGGAGAGAGACTGTTTGTCGCAGGCAGGGAGCTTTGTCACTATCTCAACAGCCAGCACAACCACACTGGCATGTGCGAACTGAAAATCAGCCCTGCCTGAGACATAATAAGTGTCCAGTAAATGGTCGCTATCGTATTATTATGTTATTACAAAATGTTGGCCATATATAACTGGGATTTAGTCCAGGCCCTCTTAGGCTCCAGATCCCAGCCTCTTTCCTCTGCACGGAGATCTTGTGGGCAAGCAACCAGCCAGCAGACTGTTCTCCCAAAGAGAAACACCTAAGTCCTTATCCTCTAATGCTCCAATCCCCGAGGCAGCTCTGAGCAGAAGCAAATGCATCCAATGTAGCGGGTGACCTTGGGTGGTCCCCACTCCTCGCTGAGCTTCCACAGAGATGGGGTGTGAAGGAGAGAATCCCCAAGTCCCTTGTCTGGCCAGGACCCCGTGTCCCCCAGCCCACTCAGTGGGATAAAGGTGCCAAATGAAGTCATCACCGAGGGGGACGAAAGCCCAGCCCTGGCCATGCTGGAGGAGTGGGGGAATAAATTCTGCTGGTGGAACTTTGTGTCTGAAAGGTGGATTATAGAAGTGCCATTTGGAAGATTGAATGGCCCATAAACATTTTCATATTTCATTAGCCGATTAATGGGCATCTCTCTCTTTTTGGCGAGTCTGCTGATTCTCAGCAGAAATTGCGGGGAGTAAATGGAGGCGGCTGGTGGAACCTTTCTGGGTCCCCATCCTGTTATAGATTGCCCCAATTAATGCCTGTCCTGGGCTCCACCAAGAAGCCTTCTTCCTGTCCAGTTACTGTTAATAGATTTCTCATAAGTGGCTGGATTGTAAAAACCTCATAACTCAGTTTAATGCCCCCCATAAAATTATCTCAGAACGGCGGCCCTGAATCATTGGCAGTGCCGGGATGAGGAGACCTGTCTCTCCTGTTGCTGTTTGTGCTTTTCCTCCACATCTGCCCAGGGGACATGGCCACAGGAGAGGGTGGGCCTGTTCCATCTTAGAGTGCCTGCACCCACTTTCCAATCAGACCTGGCATCTGCTTACTTCATCAGCAAACGTTCCTGAGCAGTGAGCAGAATACCGGCATACCTCGGAGACATTGCGGGTTCGGTTCCAGACACCACAATGAAGTGAGTATTGCAATAAAGCAAATCATATATTTTTGCTGGTGAAGGCTCTTGCCTTCAATTTGTAAAACAACAATAACAACAACAACAAACCCACCAACACCAGCATGTGTGAAGCGAAGTGCAATAAAACAAGGTGTGTCTACAGTTCCCTACCATTTGGGGGGATGCTTAACAGCTATAATCTTACTCGTTTTCATCACTGCCACATGGAACACTATTATTCTTCCATTTCTCAGATAGGAAAACTGAGGTACAGACAGGAGGAGCCAGCCCCTGATCCTATGACTTGTGACCACGGGCTTGTTACTTTTACCTCTCTGAGCCCGTTCCGCCCTCCCCTGAGAAATCAGATCCAGCCCTACCTGGTGCAGGTGTGGTGAGGCTTAAATGAGAACATGTAATGACCTAAACACTATAAATGGCTGTTTTCTTCTCTTTCTTTCTCCTGAGTCTTCCTCATGTCCCTGCAGCCCTTGACATTTTCACTCAGACCCCGGACAGGGATCAGTGGAACTCAGGGGTGATGTCATCAATGTTTTTCCATGAAGAATGACACAGAGTTCACGCTGGGGCCCAGTGGCTACCCTCTGGGGACTGCAGAGTCAGACAGGGCTGGTCAGCCTGGGCAGGAGCTAGGAGCTGAGGATTCGGGCTGGTCTGGGGCTGCCTGCCCTGCTTGCCTGGCCCTGCTCTGCAGTGGGGAGGGAGGGAGTGCCTGTGGCCCCACCTGAGGAGGACATTTCTCAAGACTTCCAGCTGTGAGTGGAGGCTGGAGGCTGGTGCTCTCATTTATCGATCACTTGCTACATGTCAGACATGTGCTGGTGTTGCAGGCCTCCGCAGTAATGGATTTAACTTTATGGGGTACATAGATGCACCCCGTTTTCCAGGTGAAGAGACGGAGATGGGCCCTGATCTGTTTGACTCCTATGCACAGGTTGGTCCCCTGCAGCCTCTGGGGATCCGGTGAGTCCACTTGCAATGCTTCTGGCTGAGGAAGAGGAACGGGAGGAGGGAGTGGGCCGCAGGGCAGTCATTGGGCTGCACGGCTTGCGGGGAGGCCCGGACGCTCATCTTTTTGCCCTGTACTCGGCAGGCCACAGTCATTGGCACCTCTTCAGTCCGAGCCTCTATTTCACCATTTGGAAAAGGACTTCAAATCACAAGTCAGGAAAGGTGACAAGCTTTGGCTTCAGGATTTGTTGGGTGCCAGCTTCAGTTTTGTCACTGACCTGTTGCATAACCCTGGGTAAGAGGCAATCCTTCTCTGAGCCTCAGTTTTCCCATCTGTACATTGGGCTGATTTAATCTTTCCATAGATTTCAAAGATTCATAAGATCATATGTGGAAGCTCCTGGCACATAGTAGGTGCTCAATGCAAATTCACTTCCTTTCCCTTTCCCACCCTAGTCTCAGGAGGATTTGAGGGTCAAATCCTGATCCACTGGAGATATAGGGGCCATCATGCAATATTTGCTTGGAGTCTTTTAAATTCAGCTTGTTTCCTCCTTCAGTTGGTCCTCTCAGATGCCCTCCAATTTGGTTGCAGAACCCTCACCCTGCCCTGTCCCCCTGTCCCATGCACACTCCTCTGGAGCACCTCAATGCTGCATATCGGTCTCCCCAGCTGTCATGGGCCTCAGGGGCATGGACTAACTGGTTACTCTCTGTCTGAACTCCCCAGGCCTGGCACACACTAGTGCCCTGACAATGCCTGCAGAGAAAATACAGATAGATGGGAAAGTGGAATGTGTCTGTGTGTATGCACACGAGAGTGGAGATTTTGAGCTCCTTGAGGGTCAAGCATATGGCTTTGTTTCCAGCTCCCCAGCATCCGGCACAGGGCACAGCACCAAACACACTGAATAAATGAATAATGAAATAAACAGCTGTCATTAGACTTCCCCAATGTCTTCTAGGCTTTCTGCAAGGTCCAATCACTGTTAAATCACAGGTACACACGAGCTAGACTAGGGAGGGGAGTCACTGGGCACACTTCCAGACCCTTGACCATGACCTCATTGATATCTCATAGTGATCTTGTGAATTAGAGATTACGCTCTCCCCGTTGTATAGATTGGCAAACTGAGGCCCAGAGAGGGCCTAAGGTCACAGCTAACAAGAGGCAGCCCCAAGGCCTGTCCGACTCCCCATCCTGGGTTCTTTCCATTGCATCGAGTGTGGATAGCCCAGGAGGAGACTGCCTCTCCCCAATCCCAGCCTCAGATCATAAACAACACACAAACACAAGAGTGAGTGCTTCCACCCGGGGGGGCTGAAAAGCAGGATTTATGAGGCCATTAATTACTTCCTCCTAATTAAATCAAAATTAAATGCGAGCAGAGGTACGTTTTCCTTATTAAAGACAATTAAATGGACAGTGCAGCTACGCAAATAAAACGAGTCCAGGATTTAAACAGAAAGCAAATCAAATAAAAAGCCTCTCCCAGAATAAGGGGTCTGTTCGCGCCTGTGCTACTCGTAAACCAGGAGTTCATCAATTTTCTTTAAATATTAGCAACTTAATTAAATCTGCTCTCCTTCCCACTTTAATCCTGCCGTATATCTAAAATAGATCTCACTGCCCACAGGAGCTGGTCATAAGGGCTGACCCCATAATTCTAGCTTTTTTAAAAAAAGAATTAAAAACCCTACAAAATCCACATCCAACTGACAGAGGCCTCCGGGGAAATTACAATTTGGGAAAGGGATTAGTCAACGTACCCAGATTGTATGGAAATGTTGGGAGGTTGCTTTAAGGGTGGGTCTTGTGAGAAGGTGAGTGGAAGAGGTGGGCTAGGCTGCCGCTGCCGAGGGGGCAGGACAGCGAAGGGAGCTGCCTGCATGGGGCTTTGGTGACAACCTCGGAGCCCAGTGCTTCCTGCGGGTGCTGACAGGAGCCTGGCGGTGAGTGATGGAGGCGGCGGTTGTAAAATAGGTTACCGTGGGGGCCAGGGTTCACTGGAGATGGTGCTGTTGCTAAGCTACCTTTGGAATTCGACAAGGACAGATGCTCCCAGTGGCTCCCTGGGGCAGGGGACCTGGAAGCAGTGAATTAACTGAAACTGTGGAGAAGTCCTTTCTCCCCGAAGAGCAAGAGAGCATAGCGTGAGTGTGTGTGTGTGTGTGTGTGTGTGTGTGTGAGTGTGTGCACACGCATGCACACAACCACTTGTACAAGCACGGGATTCGACTAGAAAGGGGACAGGTGGGTTTTTAAAAGCCCAAGCTCATATTCCCTGAGTGAGGAGTGAGCTAGAGACCACCTGCCCCCGCTCTGGTGAGAAACCAGAACATCAGGTGGCGGAGAGGCTTTCAGGGTTTAGAGCAGGGTGTGTAGTGTCCGTGTAGATGGTTTTCTCAACGTGGTGGAAATATTATCACAGGGTGAGCCCTGTGATAATAAAAGCGCATACTGAGCACGTGCCAGGATCTTGACATATGCTGACTCACTGAACCCTCATCACAGCCATTTGAGGAGGTGCTAGGCCCTCTCAACAGATAAGCAAACGGAGGCACAGATATGTTAAACAACGTGCCCGCGGTCAGAGATAACGAGCGGGCGAGCATGGGTTTGAGATCTGGCAGTCTGGCTCCCACTGGCCCCCGGAACCACACACTACCACCCTCCACAGAAAGTGTGCTTTGGGCAAACGTTTGCAAACAGATGGCCGTTCTCTTTCCTCCTTGCACAGGGTGCTTTTCTGGAGGTGGCCTTGAAAGCAAGAGAGGAGGGGCTCTGGGTGCAGATGACGAAGGGGTTGGATGGAATAGTTATGACAGCAGCGGGGATGCTGGGAGAGGTTGCTGTGAGATGAACACCCCTGGCTGGGCACAATGGTTGCATCTTAATAGACGTTCATACAGAACAGTTAAACCTTCTGGGGCCGGGAGCTGGTGTCAGAGATCTGGTCAATGGCTTGATTCTGTCACTGTGTTGCTGTGGCCTTGGCATGATATTCCCTGCCTCTGGCCTGTTTCCCCCTCTTATAATGAAGGAACTTACTAGGGCCCTCCCATCGCTGACAGACTGTGGTTCCAGGAGATGGGTGGGGTTTGGCCCATGCCACTGAGATGATGGTATGGCTGGATGGGTGCAGCGGTGAGTCAGCGGTTTCTCTGATCTTTTCAGGATGTGGGCGGCTGGGCTGCGGAGGCCTTCTCAGAGCCCCCGCTGCTGGACAGACAACAGGGCTGGGCTGCCTGAGACCACCACCACTGACATTTAGGCAGATGTGTCAGACTCCTCCCCTTTCTCTCTGGGGTTCCCCGAAGCCCTTCTCCCAGGCCTGGAGGGTTCAGAGACGGTTGGAGAATCCAGCTGGGACTGGCCTCTGACACACACATGTTCAAATCCTGGCCAAGCCACTTGGCCCCTCTATGACTCTGCCCTCTCTGAGCCTTGGTTTCCTTGCCTACATAAGGGAACAATGACTTCTATCTTGCAGTTCAAGAGTTAAGTGCTTCATATAGGAAAGATAAAGAAACAATAAACAAGCCACCAGGCTGCAGGCAACACACATTATGCGCTCAGTTTCCTTCTTCAATCCTTTCAACAACCCTAGGAAGCCAGCTCTCTTAGCCCCACTCTTAGAGATGAAGAGGCTGAGGTCCAGGAGGTGAAGTGACTTGTTTAAGGTAATGTGGTTCATGGGTTGGCAGAGCCAGGCCTCGGAGCCAGGCGTGTCTGCTCCAAAGCCCGTATTCTTGGCTGCCTCACCATCGGCGACTGTCGAGCTGGCACCGGTTCCTCTTTCCCCATCCCTTCACCCCATTCTACCAGACCCACCATGTCACTGCCCTGGCTAGGAGTCAGGAGCTGTTGGTTCTGCCACTAGTTGGCTTGAGCAAGGCATGAGCCTCTCTGAGCTCTAGCTGTCAAATCCTCATTTGCTGAGTTGCGCGGATCAAATCCAGCCACATGTATGGAGGGGGAAAGTAGCCAAGGACCAGGGATGACTGTCAAGATGAGAGAAAACCTGGGTCTCCTGCCCGGCAAATGGAAAGATTACTATCAAGGCTTTCCTCCCGTCCTTGTCTAGGGTCCTGATCCCTGAGCCCCGAACTGAGTGGCCTGGTCAGTCTCCCAATTCTCTGACCCATATCTCAACACACAGGAAACTTCAGAGTTGGTCTCCCCCCATCTCTGCTGATCAAAACTTCCTGGAAAGCTGACTGGCCTTAGCAGAGGCCAGAGAACTCTCCCTGGGTACCACTCTGCTTTTCATGCCCTACAAGCACCCTCCACCTCAACACCCCAGCTACTGACAAGTCTCCAAACTTAGAGGACTAATAAGCTGGGCTCCTTCAGGACTCCAAGCCTTTGCATAGGTTATGGCCTCTTTCCCAGGCTGATGAACTCCTACCTGCACATCAAAACCCAGCTCAGGTGCTTTCTCCTCTAGAAAGCCAGCCAACAGATACTATTTATTGAATGCCTACTCAGTGCCAGGTGCTGCCCTGTTAAGTTTTTTATGCACCAGGCTGTCTCTGCCACGCTGGGGAGCCCCCAAATGGCAGAGGTGGGATTTTACTAATACTTGCCTCTGCCTCTCCAGCATCACAAGTATGAGAGGCTTAGGCACTGAACGGGTGAACAAAGACCTGAGCTCCTTATACTCCTTGGGCACAGATCTTCAGCCACATTAACCATCAGAGTTTGAGAAAATAGCTTTCATTCATTCATTCATTCATTCATTAAACAGTTTGTGAGCAATGTCTGCATTAAGCACTGGGGATTTCATGGGGAGCAGAACAAACACAGTCTAAGAGGAGAGACACACATTAAATGCACAATCAAACAAACACTTGCATAATGAAGTGTCATGAAGGAAAGGTACTTCACGTGGGAGGGCACGGCACAGGGAGGGATGGTCACATACAGGGACCTCTCCTCGCTGGTGTGGGAGGGGCGGCCTCTCTGAGGAAGTGGCCATTGAGCAGAGAGCTGAGTGTGAGTACACAGTAACCATAGAGCAGCAGGGGGTGCAGTTCAGGGGAGGCAACCCAGGAGGGGGTGGGGGTGTCAGGAGTGCTTGGGGCCCCAGGGCCCTGGGCTGAATCTCAGAGAGGGGAGCCTATCTTTGTAGGCAGTGGGGTGGGATTTGGGTTTGTCCCCAAGTGCATGGGAAGCTCTTGAAGCATTTTAAGCGGAGTCGGGAGAGTATGTGTGGGATGTTCAGATTGGCAAATGTGTTTCTACATTCTATGCATCTAGCTACAAGCTGGACTGGCTTACCTCCTAGCACTCTGTGCTCCAAGACTCCAAGGAAGAGGACTAGAGAAGGGCGTGGGGCGGAGGAGAAAAGGGAGAGTGCGGGACCCTGCTGTCTGCCTCCCCTTCACTCCCCCCTCCCCACGTACCCCCCTCCCCGCTAAGGCAGTTGAGACCAGGCACTTAGCGGGTAGGGGAACTGGGGTCCCTTGTGTCTACAGGTGGGTGTCTCCAGGGTGCAGGGTCCCACTTTACCTTGCCCACGTAGAGGGGCTCCGTGCCCGTGTACTCCTCCACCACGAAGAACTGGTTCCAAACCCAGCCGCGCTTCACGCGGCCAGTGCCCAGTGCACCTTCCTGCGGAGCCCCAGGCGCTGGCGTGCCCGCCGCCCACAGGCGTCCCAGCAGAGGTGGCGGTGGTGGCAGCAGGAGCAGCAACAGCAGCAGCACGGGCGACAGCGCAGCTCCCGCCAGCGCCCGCCCATCGGGACGCGGCCTCATGCTTGGCCTGCGCGGGGGCCCAGGAGCACGGACGACCAGAGGCACGCAGCTCGGGTGGCACCACCAAGCAGGCCCACATCACATGGTGGCCTCAGCGAGGCACCCGGACTGGCCGGCACCCCTGAACACCACCCAGCTGCGGGGGCGCCCGGCTGGAGGGGGAGGGGGCGCGGCCGCACCCTGGGCATGGACGGTCCCCAGGGTCCCGCCCGCGCCCCCCTGGAGCCTTCGTGGCGGGGTCACCAGGCAGTCCTCCGCAGCTCCCGAGTCTAGTTTGCGCCATGCTCCTTGCGAAGAGCGCTATCTCGGGTTGTACATATCCGAGGATCCTTAGAGAGCGAAAGGATGTGGAGTCCAGCCGACGCCAGGG